TATATATATATATTTGACCTGCAATTGCAGACAAATAGTTTTTTGATTACTTGCATGCTCGCATGAATTACAAACAATAATAAAATTTATATTCATGCAGCGCTATTCCAAAAATCATAAAGACTGGTTTTTCTGCCATCAATCTTATTTACTTTTTCACCGCTGGCTCAGATGAGGTATTTTCTATCCGTTGTCCAAGATAATTAATTTATTTTGTTATTTCTCATTTATATTTCATACAAAAAATGAATTTATTTTTCAATCATTCATGAACGGTAGATTAAAACTGCGGGCTGTTTGTTCTGTGGTAGTTTTAATAAAAATGCATTCTTTGAGAGTTACTGTTATTTGAGTTCGTCAGATCACCAAATGCATGATTCTATTTAAGAATTTTGCTTTACAGTTTTTAAATTTTCTTCTTCTTTATGTTTTTATTTTTATTATTATTTTGCTTTACAGGTTAAATGCTGGCAAATCAGACGCCAAACAAAGGCTCCTCAAGCTGCTGGTGTCATACATACTGATTTTGAACGTGGTTTCATTTGTGCTGAGGTATTTTGCTAGTGTTTCTAATCATATAATAAAGAGACATGTATATATACCACTCAATTCCTATGCACTTACATATCTAACACCTAAGCTTTACTTTTTACAATTCTATCACCCAAATCTTACATATTACATAAAAAATACTGCCATTTTATATGTAAAAAATGAAATACACCTTTTTGTGTATAGGTAAGGTTGTATGATGTAAAATTAAAGTTTAGGTGTTAGATTTGTAAATACATTAGAATTGAGTGGTATGTACATAAATCATCCGAATCTAAACTATATTGTTTGTTTTTTGTATCAACTAGCTTTGTTAAACACCGTTCAGTCATGTTAGTTGTGGTTTATCTGTACTGGTTTTATGGTGCTCTAAGCTTTCGAATTCTGGATATGTAGTTCTATTCTAAATTAGCACCGATTGTTTATGGCTTTGAACTTTAACAAATAAACTATAGCTCAATACTCAGTGTTATGGTTCTTTTCAATGCTTCAGCAATATTGCATCAATTTTATCTTTTCAAACATTGTTGCTGCTAAAGGCTTTTTGTTTATTTAATAAGCCATGTAAGAAATTATTTATAGATTTAGTAATTTAAGACTTCAAAAGCTATGCTTACTTTATAACATCAATCAAACATGTTAATAACAAAATCTTCGGAATCTCAGAATAGCCAAACTTGCGCTCCAAACTGTTATATGGATGATTTGTGAAGTCATTCTTGATATTTCTATGTTTATAAATAATGAAAGGAATATTGGAATTTATGAATGATTGCTTGACCCCCTCAAATTTTGATTTGTGGATTATATCGTTGTCTTGGATAAGACGAACTATGAGCTGTAATTTTTTTTGGAAGATTTACACATATACCACTTAATTCATATATATTTACATATCTAAAGCTTAAACTACAATTTTTACATGCATGTCATTACCTATTCATGAAAATACTTTTTAAAAGTTAAAATACTAATATTTTTTATGTGAAATGAAATGTTTGAGTGGTCTGCATGTAAAATGTTAAGTTTAGGTGTTATGTATGTAAATACGTAAGAATAGGGTGGTAAGTTCTTTGATGCCCCTTCTTTTTCAGACTTGTACGCTTGCCTTTGTTACTTTTCAATGATAGCATTAATACACTAGGATGCGATTTTACACTAGTTATCTAGCACTGCACAAGTAACTTCTATTTTATAATACAAAACATAATATTACAGCACTGCAAAATTTACTTCATTTTTATTTTTTGGCATCTCTTCTACAAGCCGAGACAAATAAGTGCCAATTTTTGAATTACATATCTAATAATATAGATTTATTTGTGATTATAACCATCCTATATTATTTGTGCCACTTGATCATTCCTATATTATTTGTGCCAAATTGTGAAATTCCAGCTTTACTTTATATGATATTTTTGTACCTTGTGGTACTACTTTTAGGACATATTTCAGGGAAAAAAATTATGCTTTCTACTATATGTTTGAATTTGCAATACATATATTTTTTTCATAATTTGGCCTTTTTCAGGTAATGAAATTTGAAGATTTGAAAGAAGTCGGCAGTGAAGCGGGAGTCAAGGTACAGTGCTTCCAGCGCTGACTTCTGCTCTAACCTGCTCGTTTTTTTTTTTTTTTTTTTGAAATGTATGATGCATATTAATCTCCTAGTGTAATCTAGAAGTCACTCCTTTTCTTATCTTTTGCAGGCCGCAGGTAAATATAGACAGGAAGGGAAGACTTATGTTGTTCAGGTTTTTTTTTTTTTTTTTTTTTTGTGAAATGTATGATGCATATTAATCTCCTAGTGTAATCTAGAAGTCACTCCTTTTCTTATCTTTTGCAGGCCGCAGGTAAATATAGACAGGAAGGGAAGACTTATGTTGTTCAGGATGGGGACATCATCTTTTTCAAATTTAATCCTTCTGGCGGCGGAAAGAAATGAGTCTATAGATCAATTTTATGTGCTTTGATATTTAAACCGGATGTGTTTAATGAGGTAATTTATTAAATTGATCTTCAAAAACTTTATATAGGATCTATGCTTTTTTTGGCCTCTCCTTTTTTGCAATAAAAATTTCTGCAGAAGTTCAGGCTCCCCAGCTATGACTTTTCTTGTGTTTTTCTCTACTGAATTCTTTGGTTAGCTTATTCCATCTCATATTTCTATCTTATTTTTAAGGGATAAAAATTAGCTTCAAATTTAATTTTTCTATGTCCCACGTGAATTTTTATTGATTTGTTTTGTTTGGTCACTTTTTGTCGTGTGAAATATATAGGTGGTTATTAAAGGATTGAAATATTCTTGATTTTGTGCTGATCTGCGTCGTTTGTGTCAAAAAAAAATAAATAAATAAATAAAAGACAATGCCCAAAGTTTGAGAACCTTGCTGGTGAAAAATAGAAAGCTGGAGGATCTAATCATAAATAGTCCCAATTCTGAGGACCTAAATATAATTAGGTGCATTTGTATTCATACCACACAATTCCTGTGTATTTACATATCTGACACCTAATTTTCATAACTGAAAGAACACTCAAATCTTTAACCTTACATAAAAATTATATCTATTACTAGTTAAAAGTGAAATAAATCTTTTAATGCATACGTTAGGACACCAAAATTTTATAAATGTAAATATCAAACTTTAGGTGTCAGACATGTAAATACATAAGAAATTTGAGTTATATATGTAACTTATTTTAGTAATGAATTTAATTATCCTTAGTTTAAGTAATATTTTAATAAAAATACTAAGTAATATTTGTATGTGAAATAAAATATGTAGTAGGCTGATATTTATATCACTTGGTTATTCTTACAATTTTATTAATTTAATTTTTGAATGAATTAATAAAAAATTGTAATTACTCAATTAAACCAGTATTGTGAAAACTACCACAAGATTAGCACTACAGGATGCCTCATGGAATATCACAACCGGAGGAAGACGAGAAGCCCTGACACCATTTTAGTACTCTTAGATGATGTGGGAGAACAAGTAAAAGGGTTACAAAAGTTATAGGACGGGTAATGAGAATAGGAGGAAGGATGTCGGCTAAAATATTGTATGAATGGTGGCAAGACAGCCGAACATGGAACAAAGCAGTTTTTCTATTGTAAAAAGCAGATGGTAGCGAGTTTGATGATGAAGGATGCCTTCGAACGTCTGAGAGAGATCACCACATCGATCCTATCAAATTACATGTACACTACATGAGAGAAATTCAGTTATACATTAATCCAATAGAGAATATAGGATGAAACGTCTCTAAATAACTTAAACCAAGCAAAAAAAAGTCCCATATCAGTCCACAAGCAAATATACATATAATTCTCTAGTAAATTAATTCGACCCCAGTGCTAAATCAGCAAAATAATAGAAAGTCCAAAAGAGGTTGACCAGACTTGGTGGCTGAGCTTGCTAAACCGGCATAGAAAATTGAACCAGATCTCGGTTCATTGCTTCTCATATCTGTTCTGGATGGGTGTGGAATGCTTGCATTGGCTATGTATCATGGGCGACATCTGTGTTATTTTCCGGGGTTGGAGAGATTTCACCTGTCACTGGAAATAGCCAAGTTCTTCAAGTAAGCTAATAAATTACGAAGTTGAAGGAAGTAGAAATGACACCATTTTAGGGCTACTAAAAGGTGTGAAAGAACAGATGAAATGGGTAAACAAGATGTTGGGTATGTAAGGAAAGAGGGAGGATGAATGTCGGTTAAAATCCAGCTTGAACAGTGACATGACAACAAATCGGAAGTGGAAAACGATTATTTTATGCAGTCAAACAACAATAGGCATGCGATGAATGGGGCCTTTGAACATTTGGGAGAGATCACAACTTTGATCCTATTAGACTACAAACAAACCACTGAAAGAAATACCAAAATACAACACTCGGATAAAGAAGATAAGGAGAAAACATCTCCAATAATAAAACAATAATCAAAACTCTCAAAACCCAGAAAAAACATTAAGTCCCTTAAGCAAATAACCCTACTTAGAAATAAAATAAAATAAAAATAAAAAAGGAAATAAGTAATAAAAGGAAAAAATCCTACTGAAGTTGTGAAAATGACGGTAAACTTGTGGCATCTCCATCTAGCGATTACAGGAATGCTTTGTTCCACATGATTTGGAATACTGCCATCTCACGAATTACGGGATACCCGATCCAACAATTTTGTGGGTGCTCTCGCGTTAAGAAACGTAATAATTCTCTCACAAATCAATCATGTATGCCACACTCACCCCACCATCCATGACAACTATAGAACACGAACGTCATTCCAGAGTATATTATGGTAGAAAAAATAATCATGCTTCTTTGGAATGCTTAGAGTTGGAACTGCACATGATCTAGTACTCTCACGACTCACATCTCTATCCATCAAGACTATAATATCCATTATCTCATACTCCTAAGGTAAGAGTATGATCCACTTCTCATTCTTAATGAGAGAGTATGTTTTTATGGTCATCATAAAATGTACTTCTATCATACTACCGCGATCGGTCCTAAAAGAATGTTAAAAAATATCCATAAGCACAACATTACGCCAAACTTGGTCCTTCAGCTTGTCTCCAATTGAAAATTTCACCAGACATCTCTTGTCGACATAAATCTTATTTCTCTTCTTCAACCAAGATAGGGTGTATGATTCTCAATTTATTCATTATCTGTGTAGATACCACATTTTCACAATTGTCTGTCTATAGTAAGATGACATAACTTTCCCATCACGTTGCAACAAGTATGAAAGATATGGCTGAGCCACTTTCTTTTCTCATGGGCTCAGCTTAAAGGACCTGTTGAATCACTAGCATCGCTTCCTTGTCGACTGGAAGCTAATACTCTTCTCTAATATCCTCATTCTCTCATGTGGCAATCTTCATTTCTTCAATGGCTCTCTGCTTGGTGAAAGAGGTTACCCTCTTGCTTTGGCTATTGAATGTCATGTGTCCAAAATTGTGGCACTTGAAACACTTCTTAGTTGGGACAGATTTGGGAGTATTGCAGGTCTCCACTTTTTCCCCACTCTGAACTGGTTTTTTCTTAGGTGGATCAGCTTGGGTGCTCAAATGGTTGTACTATAGTTGGTTGATCCTGGGGTTGAACTTTGTTTGCAAGATATGTTAGTTGATTAGTAACGTTGTTTCTATGACTTCAAAGCTAGGGTATGCATATCAAATAGTGACTAATATGGCTACAACTGCATCACATTACTGATAGATGGTTTCGACCCTCCAAAATATCTTATCATTATGTGCTTCTCTGATTTCATCAACTCACATTTCAACATGAGTTGATCAAATTCAGTTGTGTACTCCACCACAAAAGAATTTCTATGAAACATGTTTTATGGAGTTTTATGAACATATCCAGTCGGTGATGCATGGGGAAGGTAATTACATTGCATCTCCCTTTTAATTTTAGATCATTTGATAATCTTACTCTTCCTTTCTCAATCTCGATGGTGCTTCAGATTCTCCCACCTAAAGGAAGTGTTCTTCCTAAGCTTAATGGCTATCAATTTTATTCTCTTGTCCTGATGACTTTTTTTATACTGAAAAATTTGTTCCATTGTTTAGAGTCATTCCATAAATTCATATACATCCAAATGTCCGTCAAAATTCAGAAGTTCACCTTTACTCCAAGATACTAGCTTCTCTCATATTTAATTCCAAAATGGCACGACATTCTCTTCATAACTCGAAGCTTCTTGGTGGAAGGGATTCACTCACTCCTCTTGAATTGGCGAGTCATCATTGTGGTTGTTGCGGATCTAACTAGATTATCTCCTCTCAAAGGTGGCAACTTGTTGTTGCAGGGGAGAATTTTATTGTCTTCTACTGCAAGTGTTTTCTTTGCATGTTTCTTCTAAGTGGCATTATTTTATTTTTTCCCAATCAAGATTTTGATAAGTGTAGGGTTGTTGATTAAAAGTTGGTGGAAGCTTACGATTTTGGTTGTAGATGTTAGAGTGAATTTTTGGTTGAGGTAGAAATGTTTGATTTTGAAAATTTAGAGGGATTTTGATTGTAGATGCTGGAGTGAATTTTTGATGGAGTTAAGAATGTTGGATTTTGAATATTTAGAGTTATGGTTAGGACTAGTGGTAGTAATGAGTAGAGTATTGAGTTGGTTGAAGATTTAGGTTATGTTGGTTTTAGGTTTAGCCGTAAAAATGACATTCTAAAAAATTTAGAGTTTGTTAGGCTCTGATACCAGATGTCACTGTTCTATGACTCTTATAAAGTGTGGGAAAACATGTAAAAGGGTTAGGAAAGTTGTATGACGGGTAATGGGAGTGGGAGTAAGGAGGTTGGCTGAAATCTGGCTTGAACGGCAGTGGGACAGCAAGCTGACAGTGGAACTTAATCATGTTTAAGAGGTTATCAGGTCTTGCCAAGGCAGTATTAAAACTTTGATTACAGTATAATCACATCACCTCCATTGCTTCTTTGTTTTTTTTCTTTGAAGTATAAATCTTTTCTTTGTTACATATATTAACCTACTTTTATCAAGGCAGAAAACAATTTCATGGCTTTTTTGGCAATGACATGATGTGGTACGTTCCTAAACTTTGGGGCAGCTCGTGCTTACCTATATAAGCCGCTTATCTGGAAACACAGACTGTGTTTAGTGTAAAAAATCAACTATATTTTCAAATAAGCTGCTCAAACGCAGTTTCCAAACATTGAGACAGTGTTTTCAAAATATCGCCGCAGTGGATAAGCTTCCCCAAATGGAGCCTTAGTTTCCTTCCGTAGCTGCTGGGTGTTGATTTCTTTTTTGCAGTATTGCATACTATTTTGAAGTCTTATAGACATCTAAAAAAAATCTCAAAGCTCATTACAAAAACAATGCACAATTTTTTACAATTATTATTTTTTTTTTTTATAATTTGAACCCTAAATTCAACCAACCATGGCTATTTAGATCCTTCCATTAAACCAATCATAAAAAAAATAAATTAAAAAAAAACTGAAAAAGCTATGTTTGTGCAAGGAAAGGAACCAAATTTATGTATTTATCATAGAAATTTTATTTCTTGAATGTGGCCATAATTTGTTGTGCTACCTTGTAATCAAATTTTAATGGAGTATCAGAATGATCTATAAGATTAAAACTGTTATAATAATTGAGGCATTGATTAATAAGCTATTGTATTCAATCCTACCAGAAGAGAACAATTTCACATAATTGCAGCAAACATAGTGGTTTTTATGCAAATTCTGATAAACTTATATTACAAGGCTTTTCATTAAATCCACTAAGCCAGAGCACTGGTGTTGTAAACCAGAAGAGCTCCCCCTCCAAGCAGTCCAAGTAGTGTCACAGCCCATAATATAAGGCCAGTTTTCCCTGCATTTTTTTTACCAGAAAAACACAGTTTATGTGAGAATTTTACAGATAAACAACATGGACTTTCACTTCTGAATTTATATAATTATTGACTTGGATTCAATATTGCAGTTTTTTATACTAGAAATTTGTGTAAATCTTTCTGTTGTTTCGTGTTATGCTGAGAAAGGTCAATTGTTTTAATTTTCTTTTAATGTTGTCCTATGTTTTAAGCAAAGACAACTATCTCACCCATGCATTTATTGAACTTTTTGTATTGTTATTAGAGTTTGTGATAACACTCTAGTATTATTATTAGTTTTTACTATATTTCATTAGTATTACCAAATTTCTAAGATGCTGAAGTATGTATGCCAGATATTTCAATTATTTCCTTTGTTTACAAAATTTTAAAGGAAGATTTACATACTGCCATACAATTCCTGTGTTTACATATCTAACGCCTAAACTTATATTTTTACGTTTATACCACTTTACCTTTACTTCAAAAGTTGTGTTTCGCTTGTTAAAAGTTAATTAGAGGTGTTTTTTATGTTGATATAAAACTCGAGTGTTATAAATGTCAAAATCAAAAGTCAGGTATGAATATGTAAATACATAGGAATTGTGTGGTATGCATTTAAATGGCCCAATTTTAAATTTATTGTTTCTTTCTCACAACAAAAAGATTAAACTATGAAAAAATTAATACGTTTGGTAAAGATTCTATCTTCATTCAGGAGTTGGGCTTCTATAGAGCCTTCCAATCTTTTTGCAAATAACCCATAGACTTATTCCATAATTTCTATTTATAATAAACCTCTTAAAATAATAAACAAATCTCAACACTCTCCCTCAGATGGGCAAAAGATATTCACTAAGCCCTTCTTGTCACATAATCCAGACAAATCTGATGAACTAAGTTCTTTAGTGAGGCAAGCAAACACTTGCTTTCCAGCGACTACTTGACTTTGCTCCAGTAGCTTGTTATTCAGTTTTTCCTTGATAAAGAATCTATCAATCTCCACATGTTTGGTTCTATCGTCTTGCACCAGGTTGTTGGCAATGTTGATTGCTGACTTGTTGTCAAACCACAACTTCATTTAAGTTCCTTGATACTCCTTGAGCTCAACCAACAAAGCTCTCAACCACATTTTCTCAGCAACTCTCAAGATCATAGCCCTATACTCTGCCTCTACCATTAACCTGACCCCTATAGATTGTTTCTTGCTCTTCCAATAGACCAAGTTTCCCCTACAAACTTGTAGTATCCTCATATGGATCTTTTATCATCTGCACAACTCTCATAGTTATCATCACAATAGCCCTCAATGTCTACATTGTCCATTCTTTCTAAAGATCAACCTCTTCCTCAGTGCACGCTTCAAGTACCCCAGAATCTAATACTCTATGTTCATATGTCTCTTCCGGGGATCATGCATATAATGGCTCACCACACTCAGTGCAAATGAGATATCGAATGTGTGTGACTCAGATAGATCAGACAACCCACCAATCTTTGGTATCTCTTACGATCAACTGATTCTTCTACTTCTTCACTCAGCTTAAACCTTCTGATCAATTGGAGAGATTGCAAACTTACATCACATCATGCTTATTTATATGAGAGGATCTAGTGCATACTTTATCTGAGACTAGACTATCCCCTCTGGTGAGTTGTCCAAGGTCCTTCACCGCAAATTCTTTGCTTAATCTTACTTTTAGTTGAGCAATCTCTGTCTCATCATTACTAATGATAATCATGTCATCAACATACACAGTAAGCATATTGATATGACCACCTTTTTTACGAAAGAAAATTGTGTGATCAGCATTGATTGCTGATATCTCATGCTCACCATAGCTTTTCTAGACTTGTCAAACCAGACCTGAGGAGATTGTTCCAAGCCATAAAATGATTTTAGAGTTTGCATACCTTGCCCACTGTCTGATCTGTAGTGAATCATAATGTTATATCAATATACTGAACCCTGATGGTATGCCAATATACTAAATCCTGATGATATGTCAATATACACCTTCAATAACTCACTATGAAGAAAAATATTCTTCACATCGAGTTGGTGTAACCTCCACCCACCATTCACAACAAGAGAAACTAGTGTTCTCAATGTGTTCATCTTCGCTACCGATGCAAATGTTTCGTCATAATTAATGCTATATGTTTGACTGTACCATTTCACTACCAATTGTGTCTTGTAACACTCCACTTTTTCTTCTGGATTTTGTTTTATTGTGAAGATTCACTTGCACCCAACCACTCTTTTCCTCGTTGATAATGAAACTATCTCTCATGTTCTATTCTTATCGAAAGCTCCAAGTTCCTCCAACATGGAAGCCTCCCACTTTGGATCCACCTTAGCTTCCTGACAATACTAGGATATAGAGATAGTATCCAAATATGCTATGAATGCTTTATGTGGAGATAATATGTAAGAGTATGAGATAAACTGAACAATCTCATGTGAGAAACCAAAATAATTAGGAGAATAATGATAAGGAGAACGACCTGCATTGCTGGCGAGAGGTCCTCTTTAAAGCTAAAGCCATGAGAGTGGGAGGAGAAGGGAGAGGAATCATATCACTCGGGTAATCAGATTCTGAAGTGGAAGGTTTAGGTGTCTTCGGAGTCGGGGTAGACCAGGGCAAGGTACTTTATGGAACGATTGACACATCAGACACTGTTCCCTCATTCTAGCTTCTTGTATACACTCTCAGCTCCCTTTGATCTTGAATTCTTCCACCTTCAGGCTCATTTCTCTCATATTTCAGCTCTTTTTCAGTTGATCCTACCCATACAATGAGACAAGGAATTGTTCCCACACCAATCTCTGACCATCACTATTGTCCCCCTCATGCCTCATACCTCCAGTATTTGATGAATCATCGAAGAGTGAGGTCGCCTCTAGCTCTCTAAAGGACACATTTATGCTCACAGACAATCTCTTCTCAATCAGACTAACAAATATACCCCTTCTGGGTAGCAAAATAACTCATTAAAACATACTTCATAGCTTTGGGATCCAGCTTTCCTACTGATGGCGTGTTGTTCTTGACAAAGCATACACAACCAAAAACCTTCAATATGAGGATCCCACTATTGTGTCCTTTCGACATCTAACAATGATACTTCAAATCCAACACTCTCGAGGACATTCTGTTGATCAATTGAGTGTCAAAATTACTTGCCCTCATAAGTGCTTCGTGACATTCATCGTGATCAGTATGCTTCAAGCTGCCTTTAGAAGATGTCTATTCTTCCTCTCTGCTGCTCCGGTTTATGTCGGTGTGTATGAACGTGTGGTTTGATGTCGTATCCCTTAGGATAACAAGTTTTCCCCAAACAACTTGTTGGTATACTGTCACATTATCAGTCTTCAATACCTTCCTTACAACACATATTGAGTTTGAATCGCTCTATGGAAGTTTTTAAAGTAGGAAAACATATCATTTTTATTTCACAAAATATCTGTAACCATCCATCAAAGTTGTAGAATAAGTCCTCATACATTTGAATGCACCAAATCAAAAACATAAGAGCTCCTGTTATACTTACCAAACTCACAGACATTATACAAAAGTTTTTGTTTATTTGACATTTCATACAAGAATGGATGTAATCGACTTAATAAACCAAACGAAGAGTGTCTCATGAGTATGTGATGTAGCAACAACACATCCTCCACACTCCTCTCAGATCCTCCTGCTCAAGCATTATCAACCATGGATGTCAAGGCTGAGTCCATCCCCTCTTTATCTAAGTACAAGAGACCACTATCACAAGTGCTAGTCTCAAGTCTCCGGTTTGTCCCCTTCTCTTGAAAGATCGCCTTTGGAATATCAAATGAAACAATATATTTTAGTTGGAATATAATGACACTAATGACTTCACTGGAAAAGAAGGGTTATGCAAAACATTAGACAAACTCATAGAATTGGTAAACCTCACTGTACTTTTACCAGCCGCTAAGTTGTGCCATTAGCGGTCTGAATGTTCTCTGGAACTGCTAGGTGAGTGTAGGAAGATAACTCACTAGCAACATCTATCATATGTCGAGATACATCATAATCTACTATTCATTCTAGTGCTCTTGTGGGGTATAAAGAGGCAGGAGTATGTGTATCACAAATACTTTTGGCTGCGTGAGCATAACTAGCAGTGCTCTTCTTGGATGACGATATGGTGGAGACATCCTGAGTCACATCACCTGTTGCTCTCTGCTTCCTCTTCAACATATTTAGTAACTCGCAATTCTTATCGGTAAAGACCTCCCTTGTCTTTCCCTCGTTTTTTGCTACATCAGATTTCCATAGTAGCCCCCTAATCCATCCCTTAGGCCCCTACGATTACAATCACGATCTCTAGATTGTTTGCATCCACCCATCTCTCTCTCTCCTTGAGTGGCTTTGAACAAGTATTGCTCAAGTGTCTCACTTTACCACGCGGGGATCTCTCTTTGGGCACCTGTCATACCTAAGCTCGAGGCATCCAAAGCTGATCACGTATCTAGAAGTCCACTTGGACTTCTCGCACTATCTCTCTCTCCTGAAATCCTCAATTTAACCAATCAGCCTTCATCGATCTCTCACAGTTGTAGAACTAAAGTTTTCTCCTCTGCGGCTCTGATTTCACGTGCATTGTACCCCCACCCTCCACCAAGCTACTCGAACCACTCTTCAACTTCCCAACTCACTGCAATTGCGACTGTATCATGAGGGTTCACGCTGCGATCCGCTGGTTGCCTTCCCAGAAAGTCACAACCCCTTTGGTGCCATCCCATCAAGTTGTTACCTTCCCAAAGAGCTGTGACAACAAGCAACGGTCACTTTTTTGCCTTCCAATGAGCAGTGATCGCGTCGTTCCCAAAGAGCTGTGACAGCAAGCAACGGTCACTTTGTTGCCTTCTCAGTGAGCCGTGATAGCATCATTGCCTTCTCAATCGTGGCAGCTTTGTGATGACAAAGCAGAAGGAAGATAAGCTCCCAGTCGCGGCTGCTCGCACCGATCAAGTTGCAAATCCCGCCATTACCTTCGCACGCCGATCCTGAAGATGACGACTGACTGCTAGGTTTAGGCTTCAATACCATGAAGAAATGAATACAGTTGGTGAAAATTCTATCTTCATTTATGAGTTAGGCTTCTATAAAGCCTTACAATCTTTTTGTAAATAACCCCTAGACTTCTTCTATATTTTCTTTTTATAACTAAATCCTATAAAATAAGACACATATCTCAACAAACTATGAGAAAATTTATTGTTAACCTACCTCCAACATAGACATCACCACTGGGAGACCATTCGTCTGGACTGTAGATTGGGCTGCAAATTTGAACAATTTTCTCTTAATCCATAGGAAATATAGCATAAATACAGTTTTCAGAGCAGAAAAAAAAAATTCCCCCAAATTTATGTATTGGGCAATTATATTTATAATACCTGTAGCCATCAACATTAGCTCCATATTTGTCAACAAATTGATAAACACCCTTTCCCTGCATTGATTTAGAACAATAAGCATCTTATATATATGTATATAGTAATCTTATTATTAAGTGATTAATTTGTTGAGGGAGAAATTTGAACCTTAAGCTTCCTTCCAGATGCATCAACCCCATTGACAAGACTCATTCCTCCTCCAGGTCCTGCAGATTATATAAATTTGATTTAGCAAAAGACTTTATGCATACCCCCTCAACTCTTATGTATTTGCATATGTAACACCTCATCTTCCATTTCTACATTTGTCATCTTAACTATACGCGAAAAAGTGTATCTTCACTTTTTAAATGCTAAAATGGTGGTATTTTTATGTGCTATAAAAGATTTGGGCGGTATAAATATAAAAAAGTAAAGCTTAAATGTTAGCTATGTAAATACATAGGAATTGAGTGGTATATATATAAACTCCCTCTTTTTTGGTCCCTAAAACATTATTTTGTTGTGAATTTTTAACTCCAAACTATCTTAAACTTTAAAGAATTTTCATTTTCAAACTCTTCTTTCATTACTTTATAAAAATGAGTTTACTTATATATTTACATATAAAAAATCATGCATTTTTTTGAAGGAATAGCTAGAGGATATTATATGAGCCTTCAACCACCTGCAAATTCGAGTATCGGCTCCTTAAGGCCAACTGTGCCAGAGGGCATTCATACCCCTGACGTGAGAAGTCTTATACCGTGGATTCCAATCAACAGACCGGAATATGCGACACATATCAAAAATCATGCATAACACAATCAATTAATACAACATCAAAAACATCACAATTATCAACTTTCAAAGTGAAATACACATTTTTCATGCAAATCAAGTTGTTCTGACAAATAAGTATGAAAATATGATATGTTAAGATATATAAATACATAAAAATTGTAGTCATTTATGTAAATACCCCTTGGGAAAAAAAAAGTTACAAATAGGAAGATGGAAGGAGGAGAGTGATTGTTAGGGCACTAACCATAGGGTGTGTCAGTCTTGATCTTCCTGTTCTTAGCCATAACCTTGAGGCCATAGGAAGAAGAAGGCCTGGCAAGCGAAGGCAGACCTTTGGCTTGTGGTCTGCTCACTGCTGGCACAGCAGATGGCTTCAGAACCAACGATGAAGAAACCAAACTGCTCGCCATCTCTCTCTCTCTCTCTCTCTCTCTATCTCCACCAATTTTTGTACAGTTGGGGCTGCTAAAAACGAGTGTGAAGTAATCTAGTTTGTGACACGTGGCGTTTTTTCTATGGCTGGATCATGATAACGAGTGTGTGGTGGCGCCATCTTTATCTTTATCCACTCCTTGTGGGGTAGTGTGGAATGGATAGAGTAAAATTAACCGTGTGCTTGTTTTATAAATAGCAATGTTTTGAATGGTCTGTACGTAATTTATAGAAGCTTTGAGGTTTATTTAGTGAAATGGATTAAGTAGAATGATAATTGAATATTTCTTTTAGTCCACATAATCTAATAGTGATATGATGTTGAGTTTGAATGTTTATTTGTTGGATGCATGAGATTTCTCAATCATTTGATTTAAGGGGCCTTCACCTACATACCATCCAATCCCTATGCATTCACATATCAGACATATGAACTTTGATTTTTATGTACAGACCACCCCATCCCTAGGCGTTGGCCATAGGTAACGTGGCACGTATAAATTGAAGTTTAGGTGTTTGATATGTGAATACATAGGAATAGGAATTGGATGGAACGTAGGTAATCTCTTGTGCGTGTGCTTGTGTGCATGTGTGCGCGTATTAGAGAGAGAGAAAGAGATCCCTTAGAATTGAATTTGGTACTCTTAGGAGGGGAGTTGTTATATTTCTCCTAATTTTACTTTGTATTAAATGCATTGCATTTTATTTAAAACTAGATCATATTATTCATTATTTAAAAAAAAAATGCTAGTTGTTGTTCAGAGGGTTGTAAATGACACTTAAATTCTTTGTATTTATAAGTCTAACACCTAAACCTTAAAATTTACATATATACTATCTTACTCGTACATGATCATCTTTAACATCATTTTTAAATTGATCGAACAATCTTTGTCAATATTGATGTATCTAACATCGTAACGTGGTCTCTTTCATTCAATTATAATATTAGAAAATAATTAAATTGCACATAAAAAATTTGTCTGTGTTTATCTTGAAAAGATCTAACGGTCTTGAAGAAAATTTGTACAACGAAGGAAGACCCACTAATAGAAGACCTTGAGGGCCACCTATTAGACTGAGTGAAATTGTTCCAACCAAAGCTAATAAAGCCAAAGTCGACGGAGCCACGAGAAGGATAAAAAGAAGACCAAATGATCCGAGCCTAAATCATCATCCGAGCTAATCATTACAGGAAAGCCGATCCGATGGAAGACCAAATCCTAAACGTTTGTGACCATTCCAACGACACCTAGAGGCTCTTTATTAGGGGTCAAGGGTCAACATCTTGGTTTATCAACCAATTAACCCATATCGACAGATTTCAACCGACCAAGTTTTTCCCATCAAGCCAAGCGAATCTTAGCCGATCGAACTAATCCTGCCAATCATAAGTCAATTAAGCTTAATCAGCTGAGCCAGATAGTAGTCAGAAAATAATTTTATATTTGTAAAATACTAAAAATATCCTAATACGGACTCCTTTAAAAAAGTAGAAAAAATATAATATCATTATATTGGCCCCTATAAATAAGGATACTATTTTATGAATAATGCAATTGTTGTTCATTACTACTCACTCCTCTCTCTTTCTCTCTCTCTCTCTTTCTCTATATTTGCACTCTATTCTTTCGGCGTGATTCATGGACACATTAGAATTCAACGAAAACATATTATGAGAATGTAAATTAACAAAGTTAAACCAAGCAATGATACCAAAAGATTCTAGAACACCAAAGAAGCATGAAGGACCAAAATATAATAACTCAAAGTTTAATACATGCAAATTAGTATTGACAACATCCATAATAGACCAAAATCTATAATATAGACTTAGAGCTTGCAGTATATCATAAAACATTTTAACCAATAAAAGATGCAATATATGCTAATTTAGTTTTGTTCATAAATTAATACGCAAAAACTCCTAGAGATTATAAAAATCAGTTTATGATGCAGAAGTTATGCTGTCAGCAATTTTCATTTGGTGTAGAAGTTTAGGAAGATTTACAAAGATACCACTCAATTTCTATGTATTTACATATCTAACATCTAAACTTTAATTTTAACCTACATACCATCTTATTACCTATGCATGAAAATTTGTATTTCATCTATAAGAAGTTGAAATGGTGATATTTTTTTATATGATTTTAAAGATTTGGGTAGCATAAATGTCAAGAAGCAAAGTTTAGCGGATAGATATGTAAATGCATAGGTTTTAGGTTGTATCCACTTAAAGAAAAAAATTGTGTACGTAAGACGTACGCAGCGTTGCGTACGTCAGTATGTTGTATCTGCATTATACCCCCTGTAACATTCCTGTAACCTATCTGTAGCCTACAAGTATATGAAAACAGAAGCGCATAACTTACTCGAAGGTACATGTAGGTTACAGGAAAGTTACAGGAGGTATAACGCGATTATAACACCCCAATATCATCCTTGTAACCTACTGACGTATCAGCGCTGCATACGTATTACATAAGCAAATTTTTTCCCCACTTAAATGCCCCAAAAATTTAAATAATTTTTAAACATAACGATGGAGAGAGAGAGCTTCTTAAGCCCATTTTAATCAGAATTAATCAGAAAACTCCATGCTCTTTTAATATGAGCTGAAATAATAAAAAAATTGGCATATTAATTCGGCACTTTATAAACTCTGGCATTAAAATCACATAGTTGAGGGGCTATTTTGACATTTTACTTGATCAAAAACAAAATCATGCCTCTGCCTGCACAGTTTCATACAACAAGTATGAGTACAGAACACTATAAAGCAATACATTAATCATAGAAAAATAGGTTTTCCACCAATTTTCCATTATATAAACAAAAGACCCCACAAATATTTTCTTTTGCTTCAAAAAGGAGACTGCAAACTATTCTCCTTCTCTTCTTTTAACTCTGCACGCTCCACAGCTTCCTCCATTAAGAAAATCCACCTATAATTACAGAGAATAAAGGTTATTAAATCAAATCAAATTAAGGATTATGAATAATTATGATAGCCGTCAACTTCAATCTGAAAGTATTCTAAGAATCTGTTTAGTTCACGTTTCAAACCGTAACCATTTTTTTTTTTTTTTGGTGAACTATTTTCTAGAAATTTTTGTGATGGGACGTTACCTTTTTTTTCAACCTGATTTGTTTAAAATGTGGTGGCTGTAAGAATGCTAGTCTGCATTTTTTTCTTTTTTTAATATATATTTATAATTCTTAACACGACTTTTTAGAAATTTGTTTTTTCCACAACAGCTTTACTATACTATGCATGTATTATGATCTGTTGGTAGAAAAATCTCTTTGAAGGTCGTAAGTTCCCTCAGATCACGGGTTTGAATCTCCATATGTGTAGGGTGTGATACTTAAATATTTAACACACTTAGAGATAGTCAGACTCATATAATAGCATTTGATCATTCCTTTTAAAATTAAAAAAAAACAACTTTACAATCATGTTTTTAAGAAACTAAAACCACCCCAAACAAGCCCTGTCATCGGGGAAGTGTGTGAGGAAAAATAACTACTATCATAATTTACCAATTTTATTGTGCTATTGTGGAGAAGCTATTGAGATGTGTAGATAATTTTATTACTTAAAATTGATAGCAAGACAACATATTACATGGATTTGTACACAACAAAACAACAAATAAAATTAAATTAAGATGGATAACAAACACATCAAACTCTCGAAGATCATAATCACAAGACACAAGTTTATATGATTCAAGGAGACTTACCCATTGTCTATAGCTATATTAGATGCTCACGAGTTCTGATTTTATAGAGATAGAGAATTAATAACCAGATGCCCTTAAAATTTCTTGAAATTTGGCTGGCACCAGTTTTAACTATGTTAAAGAAAACAGTGTTTCTACTACTAGGAAGAGAAATGTGTGTGTACCCAAGGGCAATTATATTAAGGAGAAAGGGGTACAAATCGGTTGTATGAGTGGCCCAAATAGGCACCCCAATCCATACGGTACAACACACAAAAAGAAAAAGAAGAAAATTAAAAACCCAAAAGTAGATTGTACATAAGAGATCAACCAGGTCGACCCACTTTAGTTTTGTCTCTGCTTCTAGTTCTCTAAAAGGAACCAACTAACAGATTAGTGAGGTGTGTACCATTGCCCGAAGTAACCAGTATATCATCTATTAGATTCCTTAGCTCAAGTAGATGCTTCCTTAGCTCAAGTAGATCTTCATTCTTCTTCTTCCTCCTGAAAGTGTAGACCTGTAATTCCTCATCCGAAGATTGTTGCTCATTCGGATGAGGTGGTAGTACTGCAGTAGAAAGATTGCCAACAAGTGTATGTAACAGTGTATGTGAGGTAAGAGTTGTCGCATCTACCCTAATACTTCCTGGAGATGAGGAGCTGCAAGGTTCTTCTGATTATCAGTCTGTGTAGGTAGGGGTCCTTCATTATTATTTTCAATAGGGTTTGAAAGTGTAGGTTGCGCAGGGCCATCCAGCTTCTCATCGATCGCAGAAACAGTATTTTCAGGGGGAGGGTCCACAGGGGCAATAGAATCAGACATCAAATCCTGTCTTGTGGTAGTTTTCTCTCCATGTGGAACAGATATATACTTAGATTCATCTTTATTCACTTGATCTTTAGATTTCAAATTAGGATGAAACTTATGACATTTATCAAGGATACGCCCAAACATCTTACAATGAGAACAATAAAGAGGTCTATGCTCAATGACGATTTGTTGCCAATACCCATTATGTGTTGTGTCTAACCAGACTTCAGTAACATCAGACAAAGTAATATCTGTTTCCACAAGTATTCTGGCCACAGAAGGTCTGGTAAAGTTGAAAGTAGGTAGATCTAGCTATGAAACCAATAGAGTAAAGCACCTGATGATGAAAAAAGTGCAGCTTAAGACCAGGTAAACTAAACCATGCTGGTACAGTAGGAGATTCATGATTGGGGTCAAAATCAGGAGACCGTTTGAGTAGTTTCATCGGTTTACCAGAGATGTTAAGATATTTTTTGAAGAAAATCTTAGTGTAGTTCTCAGGCACGGTTAACTAAATCAATACATGTCTCCCATCCATGAGCCCCACTTTCCACTTTCCTGCTAATTTGAGGTCATCAAAATTTTTCTTGATAACTTCCATAAGTGTGTGTCTCCAATGAAATTTTTCAATAAGAGCAAATTTGAATTTGTAAGTCAGAGTTGAAATTTCTCACATAGAAAAAAAAATATTGTCTTCCCACTTTTCTTACTTGCATTCTTAATAAAGGGGCAGTCATCTATACCATCACGATAATATTTATTTATTTATTTTCGTTGTGCTTCTGCTATATATATAGTTGTGTGTGTGTGCACGCACGCGTGCCCATGTGCCATGTACCCCGGCCTGTTGGTTGGTATCCACGGTACAAGTCTCCTCAGGCCGGGGATTTGAATCCCCTCTGAAACAGTTGGCCTTAAGAAGGTGGTCTCATGTGCCATGTACCCCGGTCTGTTGGTTGGTATCCACGGTACAAGTCTCCTCAGGCCGGAGATTTGAATCCCCTCTGAAACAGTTGGATTTAAGAAGGTGGCATTCAAATTGTTAGGTACCTTAGAGGTGGCTGGAGGCTCGTATAATAGTCAATGGTCGTTTCTTTAATAT